AGATAGATAGATAGATAGATAGATAGATAGATAGATAGATAGATAGATAAAACCATTATATGACATTTGTCCTGTTCAGTTTGGTTTGTTAAGTTTCCCTCACATGTGGAGGGTTGTAAAACAGAAATGTCACCTGCTGTAACAGCCATCGTGACGGGGACAGATTCTCTTTCCTCAGCTGTCAGATGTAGCTGTAAGAACGTGGAGTCACAGCCAACACGAACGGTGCTACGTGATAACTTGACTTCACTCAATGAGCTGAGCTGCTACCAGGGCGTGTTAATTCATGTCTGCAAAAGAAGCATCAAGATACCTGAAAGTAGAGTTTTTATTATACCTAAAGTTGTCAGAGTCAGAGTCAGCTTTATTGTCATTGCACGGAAGTACAACGAAATTGCATTTCATTACAGCCCGTTCAAGTAAAATATGCACAAACAGACATGGGGAAAAGGAGGTGTCTGAGGCCGCGGCCTTGTGGGAGGCACTGCCCTTTTCATTTAGAAAAGGAAAGTCTCTGACTCTGACTCTGAAAAGAGGAACATGAGGGAAGGGGATGTATATAAAAATTTAAAAAAATCTCTCACATTGTGTCCCACAAACCATACCTCAGCACAAAACAGCAACATACTGATGACATCATGATACATACAGATGCATGAGGAAAGCCGACGAAGGCAGTGAGTTTGTATGTGGACACTGCCAGATAGTCCCCATAGTCCTGATAACATGGTGCAGTGTGTCTTTGTGCTTCAAATATAAAGTTGGTGCCTCCTTTGTAGAAAATATGTAATCTGAGGTTCTGGCTAATCTTTAAGGCCAGCAGCCAGAATCAGAACGTCAACCAGTAAATAGTCTTGTGTGTTTGCATGCAAAAAAGTGCATTAGTTGGAATGAACAAGGTCAAAAGAGAAACATCTAAGAATGATTTTTGCATGAAAAATGTAAATTCTTTCATTTGCAATCATGTCATTTTTGATTTTGTGTTCCTAATCCTCTGTGTTGCATGAAACAGCACAAATGTTCAATACTTTCCTCTTTGTTTTAGGGTTAGACGCCCCACTCTTGCCTCTGAAACAGTCAGACATGTGTCTGGTTTGTATTGCATTTGCTTCATGGGTGCTGAAAACTGCAAACCCACAAGTTGGAGACGCCTGGAAGGCTGGTGAGTATCAACACAGTTTCATGGTGCTGAAAAACCTGCGCACGTATAAAATAATGCAGTTACAAAACAACACTTTTGGTTTAATCTATGCAATAGGTAAACTTGAATTTTAAGTTGAAACTGAAACAAGACTGAAGCATTTTTTTTTTTTTTAAAACATCAAGTACTCAAGATTTGAACTTTACTCTCATGCTGTATGTGTCTTCACAAACAGACTGAGCCTGAGACTCAAAACACTGAAAGAAAATCTGTTTCTGATAAGTCGAGCTTTAAATGTAACAAAGTGTACAGTTTTATTGCTGTATAAAGAATTTCACAATTTTTATTGTTTTTGTTTTTCTGTTTTTGTTTCCACACAGTTCTTCTGGCGAATATAAGTGCTCTGTCAGCCATCCGGTACCTGCGCAAATACATCAAAGTGGATGCAGCCAGTGAGAGGAAATCACATCAAAAAGCTCTGACAGGATCTTTCTGCCTCTAAATGTCTTTTTTATTTTAATTTTTTTTTTCTGTGAGCCACTGTGAACCTCTTAGAAGAAGTCTCTGCTGTATGTGTTGTGGCATGTTTGCACTATATTTTACTTTTCTCAAGTTTCATTGATCTCTTCGTAAAAAATCTGTTATTAGAAGCAAATAATTTAGGTACTTGCAACATTTTTGTATGACTTTTATGTGTATTTAACATTTGAAAGCATCTATATAAAGTACCGGACGACCAAATGCAAGGTTTGTAAATAATGTTCAGTATGTTGTGAAGAAAGATGAGAGGCAGGTTTACTCTGAGCAGGATAGATTATAGATGAATGTGTGATAAAAATAGATTATCCTAAGACACTTTAAGAATTTATGACGGTGCCTTTGTTCCTGTTTGTTTTTATTCCATTATGAAGCATTTCTTTCTGAAGTTTGTACAATATTTTCTCCCAAATTTTGCTACTTTAGACGTGGTACTTAGCTTAAATACTTCCCTAAATCAAAATTATTCATTTTGAAAACAGCGATCTGTGCAAGTATCAACTATAATAAATTATGAGGCCATTTTTCCATCAGAACTTGTTTTTAAAGTAAACACTGTATTTTTTTGTGATGTAGGTCGTTTTGAGCTGTTGTTTTATTTGGATTTAAAATACAGTAAAAGTGTATAAAATAGTTCTGGTTTCAAAAATCCTTCAGTCAACACTTTTGACCACTAGAGGGCGACACAGGTTCACAAGAACTTGATCTGAAGATTCAAACTTTAGAGATTTAGTCAGTTTTTATGGGGTGGAAACAAAAAACGCACAAACTTAAAACTGATATTTAAACATTTTACTAAATAATATATATATTATTGCTGTGTTTAATATAGATGCACTAAAATGTTTTGAAATAAGTATTTCTCCTCCACAAGGTGGCAAACTTGTAATATAATGTAATGTGTCCCCACTACATACATTTTGGGATGGTTGATTAACTGAATTTCTGAACAGAACGTCAACGTGATAATATTATTCTTAATTATTTGCTGTTTGATTTATTATATGTTAATATTGTCATATGAAAATGTTCTGAACTTGTAATAAAAAGGTGTTTAACTTTAAACTCCGAGCTGAAAATAGTGAGCAAGCAAATAAAGATTGCATTAAGACAAATCCTGATTCAGAAATGTTTTTGTATCGACAGTTTAAAATATAATATCAATAGTGGGGAAAATGACTAAAAACTCAATTTAAAAATAGAAGACAAACAATGAGTACACAGGTCTCATTTGTATCAATATTTCATGCTAACAAAAAACTGCTGGATTACAACAACTTTGTGACTCAGTGCTGGGCCAAATCTGGACTGAGCCAACACTGGTTTGGTTCTCAGTTTGAGTCGTGCTGAATTCGTTTTTTAACCCCAAAATGGGTTAAATGACTAATCTGCTGAATAGAGCTACTAATAAGGTGATTTCAAATGAACAATCCAAAAAGCTGGATTACAACAAGAGTTGGTGTTAGACAGTTAGTACTAACACCACTACTAGCATCATCAAAGCTAGCTCCAAATAATGTTATTTTAGCAAACCAGTCACTGTTTACTACCAAATAAAGTTATTGGGGAGTGGTGGTCCAGAGGTTAGAGAAGGCAAGCCTGTGATCAGAACATTGCAGGTTCAGCTCCCCGGACCGACATCAAAATGTGAGTGGGAAAGGTGAAGCACCCACACCTGCCTTCATCCTTGTTTGCCCTACTCTGGGTCCTTGACCCATCTGCAACCACGTGCAAAGTAGAAAATTAAGTTATAAGCAAAGCCAAAGAGGTGAAAATCTTCTTACAAGTTGTTTTTACCTATACCTTTATTTATTGCATCCAAAGCAAAGGTTCAGTCAGGTCTTAGTTGGTCAACTTCTAGTTTAAAGTAATGGAGGATGAAACAGCTCATTTTATAACCCAACATTTAGTATTTAATTTATTTTTCTTTTAATCAGATCTTCCATCTTTTGCTGTTAAAGTGACATGACACTATCCTAAAATATAAGAAAATAAGCATATTTAGAAAGAACAAACAAAACCACGTTAATACTTTTGTAATTTTATTTTCAAATATTAATAAGAAAAAACTCATCAAACAAAAAGACAACCCACACAGGCATCAGTAGGGTGCTGCGGTAGTTTCAATATTAGCACTTTTACAAAAACCAACTGTTTCAACAGCGAAGCATATTAAAAATAATATATGTACAACATTTACAAAAATTTACAGATAATCTTAAGTCAAACAAGCTCTAATGGAATGCTTTGTTGCTTATGTTAGAATAAAAGGAAACTTACATACAGTAACAAACAAAAAAATGTTTCTATAGTCCTGAATGTACTGCATATTGAACCAGTGCAGTTATATAATACATTAAAATAACATTAAAGCTACATACATACATTCGCAGTACACTCTCCTGTCTTCTCTCCTAAATGCTACATATTAAATAAACTGAACTGCGTCCATCGCTGGCATCTCCACTACCCAGCGTCTGACAAAGCAGTTCCTGTGAATCGTTGCTTCACACACTGGGAGCAACTCCGGCTGGGATTGTTGCCTTTTATTATCCCTCTGATAGTGATCTGTTGTTTGCACATGTCCAGACAAGTGCCGGACTATTATTTAGTTTCATGACCATCTCTGCTGAGTTGCCATAGGACCAAGGCCTTGGGACTCAAAGTCTAATCCTGTCCAGTGTGTTGAAATTCCAGGCACTGACTGAATCATTCCAGTCTCGTGGTCGTACTCCCAAATGTTGTCATAGTCCACTTCCTGGTCATCTGGATCTGTGGGTTCCAGGTATGAATGAAGATCTGAAAAAGCAAGCAAAGATTTAAAGGCTTTTAGTTTCAAGCGATGAAACCTAAACCTTGCCCAGATTCTAGCAACGTGGACAGAGGTCCAGAAACTATACCCTTACAGTGAAACATGTGGCGTGACAAAACCCTGTGACACCACTTTCATCCATTATTACAAGTTCTCTTTCTGACAAAGTCAAAAAAAAATAAAATAAAATCTGACAAATTAAGCCAAATAGCAGCAATAAGTTTAAATCTATTTTGGTGATAAGTTCCTGTTTGTGTTTTCTGTCGTGCGTTGCCAGTCAAAATGGACGAGTGTATCCTGTCTGACCAGTATGTTTTTCTGTAGTTTACTTCCTCTTCGTAGTAGGAGCTGCACTAAGCTCCATTTCAACAGCACATTTGCACACTTCACGCAGCTTGACTCCTGCAACATTTTTTAATGTCTGTCCACCGACCAAACCAAGAGCACTCAGTGTTAAATTTACTGTTTACTGGAGTGCAAACAATGCTCTCTGTTTTATAGGTCATATCAAGAAATCCTGACTTTCATGACTCAAGCTAGTCAGGAAATATGATGCAGTTGTTTACTAGTATTGGAAAAGGTACTCATTATTAGTCATCGAAACCATTAGTCCATCAATAATCTTTCGTTTCTTATCAAATACACTGTAGGATGTCTGGGCCAGGAGCAGACAGTCATTTATCGAACACACAAAGTCATTTCCCACAGTGATTGCATAAATGAATCAGGTTTCTGTTTGTGTGTAGTAGGCTCTTACCAGGGGAGTAACCATAAGGCATTTGTGTGGCGTTCCTCACAGAGCTCGACGGGAGAGGTATCTGTCAGCAGATGTGAAAACAGAGAAAGTCACTTCCTGTGTTGGATTTCAAACATTCTCCGCTTCCCTGAAGTTTGTGTTTCATCTGTGGCATCTGTTTCAATAGCTCCTTCGGTGCAAGTATATAAACTTACCCTACCACAAAATGCACTCGTACCACAGCATACCAGAAACCAGAGCGCCCTAGAAGGTGTGTGTCTCTGCTTCTCACCTGCTCTCGAACTTGGCTGGGCGCAGGCAGCAGCTTTAGCCTCGACACGGCCTCTGCTCTCTGATCTGCGTGGCTCTGGGGAGTTTCCAAGTCCGAACCGTAAGCCTGACCCTGGAGGTTGGTCAGGACCAAGCTTCTGTGACAGCGTCTGCCCAACGGAGGGGTTTGTAGTTTGAAGGAAGAGGGAAGAAGCTGAGAGTTCTGATGATGGTGTTGCTTCTGGATTGGTTCGTGGCGAAGCTGGAGATCCTGATGATGGTGTCGGTGCTGGATTAGTTCATCCCAGCTCTGCTGTATAAGAACATAACAGAACATGTCAAATCAAAAAAGGTAAAGCAGAAGATGGTTGAATTTAGGTCTGCTTTTTATTCAAAATGTTAAACATGCACATAAATAGACATCTTTAAAGAAAGCGAGCATGAACAGTGTGTGTGATGCTTGATATCAGACCGGCTGTGTGAATGTAAGGTGAAACAATGGATCCAGTATCGTTTGACCCACTTACCTCTGGCCTGGCCTCCTTGAGGGAGTAGATTTCAGGGCTGCAGGGCTCGTCGTACAGAGGCGACAGGGGTTGTCTTGGGGCGCACATGTCTGAGTGACGTTGCGGTGCGTTTAGTGGGAAGTTCACGGATGTCTGCGGTGTGCTCCAGCTGTTAGACTGATCAGAGGATTCAAATGGTATTAAACATTAGTGGGGAAACTAAAATCAGTCACTAGATTTTCCTTCTTCTTTCTCAGCCTGTAGACAGAAACAGAGACCTAAAACAATATTCAGGCTTGACAACTAGACTATGAGTAGAGACTTTTGACTACCACTGACTATTATCTGGAGCAGAGAGCAGCAGAAATACCTTCTTAGTATAGCAACTTTAATACTGTGTTATACTTTTGTTTATGAATCATAACAGACACACGATCCTATGCTCCATTAAGCAGATTGATCTTTCAGCTTGGGTTTGCACAAACGACATCTTCTTTCATCTGAGAACATCATAAAGAAGACGAGCCCTCTCAGCCTGCTGTCCAGTGTCTATTTCCGTCACTCTGTGTGCATGGCATGTGAAGTCTCAACGGGAATATTTGGCTATCAAGTTAGATGCCCGACTGAATTACCTTGACGAGTGGGGCTTTCTCCAGCCGCTGCGGACTGGCGCGATGCAGCACCGAGTAGGGCGTGCTGTAGATCTGAGAGCTCTCTGCAGGCTGGAGGAAGGAGCTGTGCTGAGGTGAGGCGTAACGCAGCGACAAAGGCCTGAGGTCGCTCTCCGGCCTGGTGTGTGAAGAGACGCTGTTGGTTCTGCTGCCCAGCCGAGCTGTCTCAATCGAGGACGGACGGCTGTACTGTAAGAACCACAATCACACCCAGGAGGAAATTCTTTAAACTTAATGACTTCAAAACGTTGAGCTTTGTCATTACAAACTGAACTATTCACCCCTAAAGTTAGTTCCTATTATGAATTCTGTATTTAGTCAACAAAGTCATCTGAGTGAGAGAGAGAAATCATCAGAATAATTGGGAGAGTGGTGGTGAAGGTCAAGAGTTTAGCAGCGATTATTCTTCGAGGCTCTCAGTCCTCTTTTTAAGCTAATTGGTTGGGCAGGCAGCCGATACAGCTCCTCTCCTGGGGGAGTTCAGTAAGAAGTCCTGCTAATGCAAAGTGCTTCACTGCTTCTTAAGATATCAGAAGTTCAAACACAAAATTATCGTTTCTGCAAAAGAGATTTTAGAGGTTGCTCATTAACCGGCACCGTTTTATTGTTTGGTTTAATTTGTTCCAACACCTGAGCTCATGTAATGGGAGTACCTCGTTCTTTAGAACTTGCTTAATAATTAACTCTGTAGTAGAAAGGCGCTGCTTGTTTCCATTAAAAAACGTCTCCACGTAGATGAAAACAAAGGTTATTATTTCCTCTCATGCTCATTTTTGTGTCTGTGAGTAACTTACACAGAGCGGTTCAGCGTATCCCGGAGACAAGAGCTTTTCTTCCCGAATGGGTAACTGAAGGTTTTGGGACCCGTGTTCACCTGAAGGCTGATTGCATTTGAGAGACTCGCCTCGCCCTTGACTGTTTCCGCTCCACCTGTCAAACTTCTTTGGCGCCTGGATATCAAAAGACACAACACATTAATCCAGTTTGAAATAAACAAAAGTCACAAAGTGTGGGCCAATCTAAAAGCTTTTGTATTTTGTGTGTTTTGATGGAATGATAAGTCACTGAGGGTAAAATGATGCTGATAATGGTGTCGTTTTACCACAACTAAAAGTTGTTTCACTCCTTTATCACTTTCCCTCATCTGATTTACTCCACCTGCCAGAGGCAAGCTGATAAAATATTTCAAATGCATCCAACTGAGACCACTGCTCTTGTTGAAGTGGTTTAGAAAATTGTTTCATTATTGTTGTTTTTTTTCTCTTTTGTATAGTAAAAATTTATTTTACGTATCACGGCTGGCATTTAGAAGTTCACCTAATCTATTTTCTACAACAGTTTCAAGAGACATGTTAGATGTGAAATGACCGATGAAAATGGCCGAACGTTGAACTTGATCCATTGATGTTATGCCTGCGAGTCACAGAGCCCAGATGGTGGGAATGTGTGACGTGCTGGATCGACTGAGCAACGTTCCTTTTAACTAACAGCTCACGCCACCAGTTTCTTAATGCAAGATTAAAACGATTAATATGTTATATGCTAATATTACAATAAAATGCATAAATGAAGTAGGAGAACCACAAAATACTTGTCCACATTTCAAAATAAACAATGACAGGGTGACTCTTTGCCAGAACACATCCATCCATAAAGCATTTTTACCTTTGTTCCACATTAACATAATTCTGTTAAGACATTATTGGCAACATTCAGGGTTTAAGTGGCACAATGTAAACTTCAAACTGGCTCTGTTATTAATTCTTAGATAATCACACCTTATTATCCATTAATAAAAAGAAAATGATCAATTTTGAATTTTATTTTATTGGCATATATATTTAATCTTTAACATAAAATGATAAAGGTGTGAAAAACAATTTTATTAATGGTCCTTTGAGGGTTAGGTTTGGGTAAATGGTGCCCGTGCCCTGTTTGGACCTCCTCTTGGCTCCGCCTCTGCTACAAGCAGGTAAACAGGTGATAACCCGCTCTTTAGGTGCAGATCATTAACAGCTGAGTACATAATGACAGGAAAATAAAAGCAAGCAAGTCTCACCTCTGTGTCTGTCGGGGTGTAGATGATGTCATACACTGGGGGTGGGGGGGTGAGAACAGGAACATCTGCAGCTTTGAAATGCTGGATCCAGTTACAGAACTCAGGCCTATCCTGACAGGACACCACGATGGGGTTGATCATTTTTCCTGGGAGGAGAGTAAAGAGGAACAAAGCCCGTCATTTGCTCTGCTTGCTGGATGGAATGTGCTACAGTAAGATTGTTATTCACCAGAGGATAAAGCCCCCCCATTCATGGAGGGGTTACACTCTGTGACGCCAGCACATTCAAGGAGAAGCCCACTTAGCATAAAGCACACATGGGAATGTGCATTTATTACCGTGCCTTTCTCAAAAATGCACTTCTGATTCACTGTACTTACCCTCAATCATAAAGGTGTTGGGTTTGACGTCTTGACAGGGAGTGGTTATGGTAATCATGTTGAGTGGAAGTTTGCCCTGTAATCAGAATGACTCTTAATGCAGCTCCCTTCTGCAAACAAACACTGTGCAGTGGAGGCACACATTTCAAGATTAACAGCAGAGGATCAGTGGTACCTTATAAAAGAGCCCGTTGGGCTCCTCTGACAGGATGATCAGAGTCGATGGGTACATCACCAGCAACCTGTCGCTCTGTTGCTGTGGAAATAAGAGTATAGTGAGATTAAATGCGTTTTGAAGACAATATTGCAAGTAGTTATTTTTAGGCTGCAGCTCATGTTCATAAATTACATTTCTGTTACTGACTCTGCTGCTTTAAAAAAATGTTATCAGTTTTCTCCATTTTGAGGCAGTTTTAATACTACAAAAAATAAACAGGCGCCAAAGTACTTCTCAAGGAAAGAAAGCAAACCCTGATAACTTCTGGAAAGATATGAGCAATGAGACGGCACAAAGGCAGCCATGAGACCCTGAGCAGATGTTAAAAACACAGACCTTATCTTTTAATACTGTGTTAAGAGGTACACTTTAAACCACAGTGAGAGCTTAGGTCGAACGAGTTCGTGGGAGATTTAAAGGTGCGGCAAATGCAGAGTTTATGTTTTCTCACTCTTATAGGGTGTGTCCGAACAGACAGCTGACATTCCAGCTGCGAGGTGAGCCGAGTCACTGTGTGAGCCGAGTGAATGTTTCTCACACACCCAGGGCTCTAAATCACATCAATACTGCTGCCGCAGCTTCCCAGAAAGCATTAACAGGCATCCGTGCAAAGACTTGTCATGACTACCGTTTTGATTTCCTTCTATGTAAAGCTGTTTGGCCAACATGCATCGCACTTTTATGTAGTTTTTGTGTGATGGAGTCAAACGTGTCCGTCAAGTGTGACGCAACATTGACAGGAAAACATGTATAGATAAACAACCGGAAGCCAATTATCAAAACAGGCTCCACCCTTTTTCACTCATTACCTTAACACAACGCAAGGAGTCTGTTGCACAATTTAAAAGCCATGTGAGTCACCTGGGTTTAGCACTGATATTATCCTGTTTTTATTCATGTGAAAATTCCCACAGCTTTAAGAAATACGTTTGCACTGAGAGTGACGTTCTGTTTGAACTGTACATTTCCATGAAGAAGCAAGCGACTGGTATCAGTGATGTAATTCCTGAGAAGCAGCTGTGAAGTCGTACCGGGCAGGGCAGGTGCTGCAGTTGGACTTTGGTGACGTAGGCGATGGAGCCCAAACTGTCCCGCTGAGAGCCCTCCCACTCGTAAATTGGGTCTCGGCTGATGGAGTTCCTCAGGTCTTCTCCTCCTTTTTGAGTCTTCTCCTGGCTTGGCTACAGGAAAGCAACATTGAACGAAAGTCAAATAAACGTAGGCAGAAATCAAGCGCTGATAAAGGTTTAAACACACGCTCTGTCTCCTCAGGACGTCGTGCATGTCTTTTCATGTTTCTAAATAAATGCTGGTTCAGCGCAGTTGTTTCCTTCTCCAGTGACACAACCAGGTTTGTGTGTTTCATCAGCTATCTTCACCACCTGCTAATGTAGATAAGGATCTTTAACGTTACACAGATGTGAGGGTTAGTTTAAAGAAGATCGTGATGCGGGTCAGACCTCCTCCTACATAGAATCCAGGCTTCAAGGAAAGCAAGCAGTGATCTTTCATGACTCACTGTATTGACACAGTCATACATCCTGTTTCATTAGGAGCGGTAGGAAATTAGGCCAATAATGTATCAGGTGGATTGAAAGAACACTAACTATGAATTCTAATGCGGAAATAAGCATTTTGATTTGTGTGTGGCAAACAGATTTCAAACTACATAGCACGGAAGGTGACAATAATTGCTCTTTTGCTTCATGACATATTAAAACGTTCCAAACAAAAACAGCTGCCACGCTTACTCTCACTCTCGTGTAATTTTCAGGTGTGGTAGCAGTGCCTCCGTTCGCCTCGATGTTTTGCTTGAGCAGACTAAACCAGAGGTCCATTTCTTCCTGGTTGGCGCAGTAGATGATGATGGAGTTGAGGCTGACACCTGCAGGGTTCAGAGGTCACAGAAACAAAAGGAGAAAGTGTCAACCAGGTATTTTCTTTCTTCTTTTTTTAATAGCTTGCTCTGTCTCTGCAAAAGATGAACAAAGTTCACTCTCTGACTTGTTCTTAGTTTACAGAAGGTTATGAAACCACAGCAATAAATATTAACACATGTTCGGGACAATAAACCAGATTTAAGAGCTTCTGCAGAAAAGTCTCCCTGTGACCTGAAGCATTTGGCATTTAGAAAGTGGAGGAACTCTCCCTCCCACAGACTGCTTAGCCAGAAGGAATGAACGAGTCGGGATGATCAGAGCTTCAATCTACACGTATCAGTCCCACACATACCAAAGATAACGAGAGACTATTTCACTCCATCTCATGTCTTTATACTCTAAAAGAGTCTGAAAGCAAACTGAATGTTGACTTCTGTGTCAAACGCCGTTCGAGACTTTCACCGTAACTATTCCTATAAAAGTTAAATTCTTTCACTCTCTTTAAGTTTATTTTTCTCAGTTCCAGTAAGCCAGCCAGCGTGAAAACTCATTTAAACTTTTAGTTACTTCACAGAAGCCATGAGGCGACTGTTAAACATAATTACTCATTATTAGCAAACTCTCACAGCCACGTTAATTCAAACCATGCCGGAGAGGTCGGGAATTCTTAAACGTCCTCTCTGAGCTGGATTTGCTTCATCCGTTTCCAGCTCACAAACATTCATCGCACAGAGGAAATCTCGTCTACAACATATCTTCCCCTTGACTCAGAACTTCATCCCACTTCCTCTGCATGTATCTGCCAGTGACGTTTCCCAAAAGGCAAATAAGGGTTTGCACTTGAAAAGAAAAGGCGGAAATCGGATACTAAATACTAACAACGTCGGCAGAACCAATTTCACGAAAAAGAAACGTCAGTATTTTGACAACAGAGACGGTAGAAGCAGAAACCCTACACTGAAATGAGCAGGATTCACTTTTAGTTTGTTATCCCTCACACATTTTGTGTCAATTCAAAACGTTGTCCATGAAGGAAAGCAAAAAGAAAATTTGATATTTTGTTATTGTACTATAATATCCAGAGGTTACAAGCTAATCTGACACCTTTAGCAGACATTAATCTGAGCAGGAATCCTTCGTGGATTATATGCTGTGACAAGACAAGGAGAGATGGATGGGCTTTTCTGTGCGACAGCTGGACTGACTGAAATGCACCTGTTGTCTAACAAGCAAGGCTTTTAAAAGCTGGTGTACACCCCTGACCAACACGGGGTAAAGGGAGCCCCACTTTAGTTAGTCTTGGATTTGACAGGAGGTCAAGAGGTGAAGAGGGTCGCTGCACCATTCAGTTACTGAAATGGGATAAGACAGGAAACGCCTGAAAATAGTGAGAGCTTTGTTGCTAGTTGCTTTTTAAGCAAAATTAATTTTGAGTTTATTTTATTTTATTATTAATTTGCATTGAAGGCATTTAAATCAATTCAATTCAGTTTATTTATATAGCACCAAGACACAACAGAAGTCATCTCAGGGCGCTGAACAGAAGCATTCATATACAAAAAGTAAGTTAATAACATTAACTATCTAAGGAGCAGACTGCTTTGAGTTTAACTCCATCACAGAACTCTCATCTTGAGCAAGCATGAAGGCGACAGTGGAAAGAAAAAACTCCCTTAGCAGAACCAGGCTCAGGACAAGAGGTCATCTGCTTCGACCGGCTGGGTTTGAGAGGGACAGGAAGGAGGAACAGATACACAATGGCAGGTCAAGAATCACATGTAAAGATAAATGAACTGCTACAAATGAATAGTGTTCATTTGAAATTATTTCTAAGAAAAGAGGTCGATTTGTCCTATAATAATGTGGTCATTCAGGTCATCTGGACAGTTTCTTTTTTGTGGAAAGACGTTTCGCCCTCTATCCGAGGGCTTCATCAGTCTGAGGAGTCCCAAGTAAACTGTTTTCCCCACTAAGCAATATACTCCTTATCACCAGCAAACTAGTTAGTCCACTAAAGGATATATATATATATATATATATATATGACCATTATTGGATTTTATACCTGGAGGATTGAGCATGAACTTTGATGCCCTCCAGTAGTCTAAGCCTAAGGCAGCATAACGGTCCAACCCTAACTATAGAACTCATCAAAAAGGAAAGTCTTAAGCCCAGTCTTAAAACTGGACAATGTGTCAGCCTTACGGACAGAAACTGGAAGTTGGTTCCACAAGAGAGGAGCCTGATAACTGAAAGATCTTCCTCCCATTCTGCTCTTGAAAACTCTAGGAACCGCAAATAAGCCTGCAGTCTGAGAGCAAAGTGCTCTGTTAGGAAAATATGGAACAATAAGATCTCGAATATAAGATGCAGCTAGGTTGTTGAGATCTTTGTAGGTTATAAGTTAGATTTTGAATTTTATTCTGAATTTGACAGGGAGCCAATGGAGAGAAGCTAAAACTGGAGAAATCAGACCCTGGTGTATAAAACTTTTTTTGATTGATTCATTAGCTACAATTTGCAGAGCTAATAAACTATAACTGATGATTATAAAATACCAGCACTCTGCGCCAAGCTCCCACTCAGATTCCTTTTTAGTGAAGACAAACGCACCGTTTATTTGGAAGGCATATTCCTGAGGCTGGCTGTGGTTACAGTTCTGCTGAAGGTTGCAGATGGTGAGTTCTTTCAGTGGAAGCGTCCCCTGCACACACAGCAACAAAACTTTCATTAGCATTTCATCTAAACCAAAAGACTCTTTTGGTCACCAACAACCATTACACTGAGGTCATGAAACAATGATGTATTCCTGTCTGTCTTTCTTCTGAGGACACGTGCAGTCTGACTAACATCCCATACAGGTGCTTAGCTGTCTCTTTTCAACACGAAGTTGGGTTCTCATGTGCAGTAAAATGATGATTAACGATCTCTCGAAAATTTACGAGACAGGTGGCGAAACTTAATCATACTTTCTGTTTACCAACAAAGCACTGGTAGGCAGGAGGGCAAATTAGATTACATAATACAAAACCTGTAAAACTTTTTTAAAAAGCTTGAGGTCGTGAAGGAGAAGACGCTAACCTGGTACGTTAGTCCAGTTGTGTTGCTTGAAACAAAATGAAGATGTGTTTCAAAGAGATCCAGGAAACATTCGTGAATATCCTGCAGAGAAACGAGGAACAACCTGAAGTAAGTCGATGTAATTTGCCTGCTTACACGTTGTCGACACGTCTTGTCAGATGTCTGTTCCCACATTCTGACAATACTCAGAATTGGCCATTGCTCAAACCCCAGACAGGAATTACATTTGTTCATTTATTTTATATTTTAGCATCTTGTTCCATTCATCTATTCAGTGAATCGTAGAAATGTTCAAAAGGATACTGAATTCCTAGGGGGGCATGTTTTCTGTTAAATACATTGTTCTTTTGCCATTATGATGATATTTCATCAATTTTTTCTCAATGCTTCTGACAGTGTTGTGTCACAACTCAAAAAACTTGCAGTTCCCACCGCAAGGAGCTGGCATGCCCTCTATCAGCCCATGGGATCAGAGCCACTCTCCCTCTACCCTGAGGTTCTCTGTTGGGGATGTTTCACAACTGCAGCAGAGGGAAGCATGTCCAAACACAGGCTGCAGAAGTCTTAGTGGGAAACTGCTTGGATTATTCACAGCAAGCCACTGTGTCAAAACCAAAGTCTGTTTGTAAAAGATGCACAACATCCTGTTACTTTTCACCCTATTTTTATTTCGAGAACAGCCCAGGCTTTGCATGGATGACTAGGATGACACGTCACTCTAAGCTTAATGTGTTTCTAACCAAAATGACGGCCCTAAAGCTTCTTGTTTGTGTTCTTTTATTATTTTTTACTGCTGCTTTCCTGATATTTCATCATGCAGTCACACTCAGCTTGGTGTTGTTACACTCACCTGGCACTGGAGGAAGCGGAAACAAACTTTGGAGCTGTGAATCATCCGTCCAAAATTCTTTACGTTAATGCTGCTTTTTTTCCAGCCACTGGCCGGGTCGTAAGGGAACGGAGGATCCCATTTTATGTTCTCTATGGTGCGTAGATCTTTAGGGGACATTTCCTGCAACCGGCCACAATGTTAGTGAAACACATTACAATAAAACGTATCAGAGTTCAAAGAGGAGTTAGGATCACTTTGGGTGATTGATAGTCATGTTCCAGGCGATCATGACGTTACCTTGAAGGGGGTGACTGTGCTCAGGATATTTATGATGCTGTTGGACTTCTCTTGTCCCTCTTGGGGGTTCTTCCTGCGAAACAGTCGACTGCTGCTCATGAGAGAAAAATGTAAAATATTACTAATCTTATCCCAAGTTTAGTATTAGTTGACTTCACAGCAGAAGTTTCAACTTCACATTTCCTGCTCTCTGCTGATAAGGAACAGATGTGTAAATAAATTGTTTCCCATCAAGTGAAAGACTCCCTAAAGACACGTTGTGTCTCTGGCCTTACAAATCAATCAAAGTCCCTTCCTTTGTCCTTACTCCACCAGTGACAGACATGGATTAGGGAACAATCAGGTCTTGTGCCTCTGATAACGAGGTTATGCATAGGAAAATCAGCATTCAATGTGCCTCTTTGTCTTGCATGTCCCTCATCTGTTAGCATTACTGTCACGTTTTTATGAGGAAGCACCCTCGTTTTGAAGATAAGGCGAGGGGATGCCACTTTTACAATCACAGCCTGTAGTTTATTTGCTTATCTGTGTGCATGTGTACCAGTGTCCTCAGCGTGCAACAACACAGGCTTTTGTTTGCGTTGTGGGAATCAAGGTCTGTCTATTCAGGAAGTCCATGTCCAGCATTAATCATTCATGGGTCAAGTGAATGATACCGTTGCCTGTAAATACTCCTTTTTTTTAAATGCATTCATACACAAAGAAAGGAATGAGATCCACATACTGTCATGCAAATTGCAGTAGCATGGTAATAGAAGAATGTGTTGTAGATAATAGGCAGGTAGTTGGTTTGCACACCCAACATTCTTCAGGTCAAAGCTGTGGCATTTAGCATCACCCACTCCTATTCTCTTTGGGGAAGACCTGAGCTTCATTTGATTCAGTGGCACAAAGACGGCCACAGGACACAAGAACACTGGATGCTCTGGTTGAGCTGAAACATTAAGCCAACTTGGAAACTCAAATTTGAGCCATTAATTATTTTTTAACTCTTAAGATTTTAAACTTTCTTTGCCTCAGTTTTAATTTAAAAACTAAAAGCAGCATCATATGTATATGTGGACAAAAGACCCTGAAGCGTCATACAGTGCAAGACAGGGTACTGGAGCTTCCCAGGCTAATCAGAGCCACATGTGAAGGGCCAGCAGGGTTGGAACATGTCCAGACATATAACCCTGGATTAATTAAATGAAATAATATAGACAAACTAATTAATCTGCTTATGTTTGTGCAGTCGTTTCCTGTTTTCAAATGTAAACATTTTAGGCCTAATCTCTACAGATTACAGTGTAAAAACAAATCTTATCATTTAGCTATATAATATTAACCCACTTGTATCTGAGTGGTATCAAGTCTAGACTTTTTGGAGGAAAACCAGGATTATCGACAGCTGAAGGACAAGTTAAGAGGAGGCCAATGGTAACAGGATCATTGACGGTTGGCCAGACAAGCACCGGGGTCATGGACGACTCTGGGGTTATCCAGTATTACCACCTGATCCTGAACCAAGCCTGACAAAATTCTCAACACCCATCTCAAATCCAGAGAAATACCAAGAATTCCTTCCATCTGAAATACAGAGTTTAAAATAACAAAGTGCAGTCAAGGACGTGACGTGCTCAGAGTACACACTGACACAAGTCTAAAATTTGATTTAAATAAGCTCTTACCTGTTTCTGCGAATGAAACTCTTGGACAGTCTGAAGTTGTGCTGGGGGACACATGAGACACTGCTCCCCATGTTGCTCTGGTCTGTGAGGGGGACTTTTAGATAAACTCTGTCTGTGATGGATGAGAGCAGTCCAAGAGAGCCGTGTGCTCTCTGCAAATATGAGACTTGTACTGAATGAGAACTGGGCAGGGTGAGTGGTGTAAAAAAAAAAAAAAGTCAGACTGTGAGAGTTTGACTGCGTAAAAGGGGTGGAGTTCAGCAGGGCTGTGTCACAGGCTGTGTGGTGAATAAGCAATGAGTTTCACACTCTCTGTGAGCTGCTTCTGTTATCAATCCACACAACAAAGGGCAGGGAGCTCCAGTGTGCCATTTCACACTTTTCAGGAGCCAAATTAAGCTCAGTCACTAGTGGTGCACTGGATGGTGTGTGTCAATCACTGGGAGGACAGGGAACTTACCACTGGCATGCCCAGACATACATCCACACTTGTGTATTCTATTTATTACTGGCCTTCAACACGTAAGAGTCATTTTGAAACTTAGTATCTGGGGAGTTTACATTACATCAAGCTTCTCCATTGTTTAGGTAATCGAAATTTATTTAAAGCACAGAGGAAAAAACACCACATGTCGCTGTGATATTTCAATCAAGTACTGATTTCAAACAGTTTAAGACTTCTTTTTTTGTCACTGATGACGTTTGAACAGGACTCATCTGATGTCGAAGGTCAAGCTTTTTATGAAGCTATAAACTCCAAACAGTGCAGGGGCCAAAATATTCACAACAAAAATAATTATATTTCGTTAAATTGTAAGCACTAAACTAATAACAAAATAAGTTCTTCATCGGATTGATCTTTTAACGCTCCAATGGTTTTCCTGAGGTATGTCAGAGTAGAACGTACTCAGATAAATCAAATGTTACTGTAATAATGAGCACTTGGACAGAGCAGGCTTTATACTTCCCTGTTTACTTTCCTAATGATAGATTTATTTGTTTGGATCATTACCGACGCACACAAGGAAACATGTAATTTTTCAGAGGTGATCGCCACAAAAGGAAAGTGACTAAGTTGTCTCAACAGTCAAGATGAACCCTCATCATCATCATCATCATGCATGTTTTGCTCATCACTGAGGTCTGTCTTGTGATGAGCTGCAGTCTTGTTGTGGCATGAATGCATGCTGCGGTTTGTCAGTTAAATCCAACCAGTTCGACCAGTTGTTTGCTGAAATTGATACACCTGAGGCCCCAACAGTCGCCAGCTTGTTAACTGCAGAGGCTGTTTTGCTCATTTTCTTTGAGTCGTTATTTGAGAGGTCAAGAATTTTAATATATGTGTGTAAAACTAATGACTTTCCTTTGGCTATTAATAAAGTTAAAAAAAAAAAAGGTTTTAACACAACTGTTTTAAGTGGTAAAATAAATAGTCCACGATTATTTTTGACTTGTTGCGTTCATGCAGTTTATCCAAACTTATTAGAAACTGGTTTAAAAAAAATCTAACAGGAAATTTTTGTTTTCCACTGAGAAGAGACCCTAGGGCAGATCCAGATCTTACTGGGGGTGGGGGATATATCTTCTCTGGCCTGAAAATGCCATGGGATCCCCAGGAGAAGCTGGAAGTGAGGGGTCTGGGTTTCTCTCCTGGACATTTTACCTCCGTGACTCAGCCATGGATGGATGGAGAAGAAAACTGCACATTAAAGGAAACAAACAAACAAACCTAGTTTCTTCACTCTGCTGCTGTCTTTACTTACTCTACCTGTTTTGTATTTCTATTTTTTTTCTGTCCTTGACATGCATTTTTTTTTTTGTCTTTCTTCCAATAGGGGGTACACCTGCACCTATCTGGACCCGTCATTCTGTGTTTGATTCTCCTTCCTGTCCTCTCAAACCCAGCTGGTCGAAGCAGATAGCTGCTTGTCCTGAGCCTGGTTCTGCTGGAGGTTTCTTTCTGTTAAAAGGGAGTTTTTCCTTTCCACTGTTGTCTTTGTGCTTGCTCAGGATGGGAGACTGCGACGAAGTGAAGATTCAATGAGTCTGCTGGCTTCCTTAGATAGAGAACTTTTACTACGGTAACTGGTTTTTGTATGTGAATGTTTCTGTTCAATGCCCTGAGCCATCTTCTGTCATGATTTGGCACTATATAAATAAACTGAATTTAATTAAAAATGCCACAAAATAGGTTTTCTTTTAACAAAGTAAACTTTTACACTTGCTCAAATATGCAAACATAATATAAATGTCTTGTAAAGTTGAAGGTCCAATGTGACAAAAACAGAGATTTGTCTGAAACAACAAAATCTAAATGGTTTTAAAACACAAAAAGTCCATAAATACTGGATGGTAAATGGAAAAAAATAAAATAAACAGGGAAGTAAAGGTTAAAAACTTGAGGAACCATTATTCCAAGGCCAATGAGTTCTGTGGAATTGGTTTTTCCCCATAACAAAAGAAGAAGGAAACAAATACTAACTTATATATTTAATCTATAGAAACTATTTTAGTTATAAATTATCTATAAATGTAAATAAAATTATCATTTTAATCACTTGCAGCTATGCTGTTCTGTATTTTTCCCCAACCAGAATACATCCAAAGTAAAGAAAAGAAAAAAAAAAACCTTCACTGCTTGTCATAAAACACAGAAACATGTTGCTACCAGCATTACAGTCAAACATAAAAATATCTTCTTGAAAACGTCAACATTTTTAACTAACGACCCCTGGCAGTTGCTCTAGGCCTTGGGATTTTAGCTGAAAAGTGATTTGATTATTTAATGACATAATTAATAAATAATGCCTACATGTAATGAACTTCAGTCACCAACCTACATAAAAGCATCTTTCTATTTCAGCTGTGCATTACCTCAGAAAAACTGGAAGAAACTTTTGTAGAACGCAGTGACCAAAGTGACTCAGCGCTCTGTCAGCTCACGATAAAAAGACAAGAGAGAACGATGATGTCAAACCAGTTTCAGTTGACTGTTTCCAGTCTTTGCCAACTTTATTTTTCCCCATTGTAGCTGTACTGTATCTATTGGACAGGTCATGTCTCAAAGTCTAGACAGGTACAATCATACCAATAATACAAAATGGGTCAAACTGTGACCTTAATGGTTATCTTTATCTTTCTCAACCCTACACTTCAGATAGATGAGATGCCATAAATTAAAAAAAAAATCAAATACTTTGGTCAACATCTTTCTAGAAATTGTCTGGAACAATTATTTGAAACATTGTAAAATATGTTATATAGTCCCTTAAAGGTTTTCACTCAAAACTTACTGGTATGTTGAATGTTTCCTTCGTGAGTGGTGCCCCTCCCTAAAAGAAAATGATTCCCCCCCCCATAAAAATCACTCCATCGTGTTTATCCAGACTCGGCAGGTAACTGCATCGGTGCTAAAGCAACGCCTCAGGCCACTAAAACAAGGCCCCAAACATCAGGTGTCCAACAGAGATGCTGACGTGCAAAAGTTCTCACACAGAACAACCATAAAGTAACATTAATTGGACCCCGGTTCTCTTTTGACAACAAGATCAGTCAATTTAGTTTAACATCTCTGTCATTTACTTTGTCGTTTAACTGCACAGTCCGACGATCAAAGTGAACAAATGAAACAACAAAAAACAGGCTGTTCTCACTTTGTGGTGATAAATATCCATACATTAAAACACACAATGTATGATGTAATTTGCACTGATAGTTTACAAAGAACATCTACAAAGTGATTATATCCGTGGAGATCATAATGCCAAGTCAAACAAATAGAAAAACACATGACTAAATGGCTGAAACAAAAATATATTTAAAAAAATACAAGTGCAACAAAAACCGGCTTTAACAGAGACATCCTTCTCATCAACAGCCTCCTTTTTGAATAGGCAACGCTGAAAGGGAAACACAAGAGCATCTCCTCCACTGTGAGCACGAAGATACACAAACTGTGTCTAACAATGTGTAAAAGTATATCTACAGCATATAAACTCAAATCCTAATTAAATATTTTATATTTTCTTACCTACATGTAAACAAAACAACTGAAAAGAATAAAATAGTATTTGAGGTTGCTAGAAGAGGAGAAAATATGCATTAAAAATAACCGTAATAACTGTTTAGAGCAACTAAATAGCTTCAGAAACGAAAACATTAGAAAGACTTGTGTCAAACACAGAATCATAAATTCTTTGGGGAAGAACTTCATCCACGACGTATCGATAAATTATCATTTCTGCAGCGTCCTGGACAAGGATCTTTGGTCCCTGCTCTCCGTTTGATCGATTCAACAGCAGGAACATCCCTCCACCATCAACTGGTGATCAGGAATATTTATCAGAAAAAAAGGGCTAAATGTGAGCACAAAAACGAGGAACATACGAGTGGAAATATAGTAAAATTATATTTAAAAGGCAAGAAGTAATTGATAAAATCCCTTTTTTTATTACCTAATAATTTTACTCAGCAGAGCTGAAATCTACAAGCAAAGCTCCTCACTGTTGAATGAGCATTTGTGGCATTTAAATCATCTAACGTCAGAAGTTCTTCAAGGCGAATGTTTAGCCTTGTGTTTTGGGAGATCAGGAAACTTTCATGTGTTTGAGTTGTGTGTGTGTGTGTGTGTGTGTGTGTGTGTGTGTGTGTGTGTGTGTGTGGCCGACCACAGGTGTAAATACCATGTGACTGAGGTCAAGAAGGGTAAAGTGAGAGTGTTCAGCTGTCATCTTAAATCACTGTGAAACAGGAGAACATTGGAGAGGTACGAATGAAATGTGTACAGTGAGCCTAGCAACAACCTCAGTTTGCAACACAACTTTTAGCTTGCAGGGATAAAAAGTGCTGCTTTGTGTTCGTGTCTTCAACCTTTTTATTCAAACACCAAGACAGTTGTCACATCTGAAAACAACTTTATTTCTTTTTTGACGATATTGCTCCATTTCGCAATAGTGCAAATTTTAACATTTTAAAGGCTGTCATAAATAACACGAACAAACAAGTATCACAACATTAATCACAAATTAAAAGGAGCTACAGTCACATCAAAATTGCACAAATTAAATTAAGATAAACCAAGCATTCTATGTACATTTTAATCCAAAGAACAAAGGCCAAAAACTTGAGTGAATTTTTGCACCTTTGCCTTCAGATCTCTCCCTGACTCACTTTTGCTTTACATGATTTTAGCACTTCTTTAAGGCCATCAGAGCTCCAATTGCCACGTCTCGCTTTGCACATAAATGTAACATAAGGTAGTTTTCTAAAACCAAAAATCAGTTAAATCCTTCAAAATAAGGAGAAAAAAAGACAACTTCTTAGAAGTTTGGAATGGTATCACTGCACTACACATGAACTCAACCACAATACTGACTTTTAACTGGGATAGATAATTCAAATCAACCATCACACGCCCTGATGCTTTACTGTTAAATACACACGAGGTCAATTTTATGGAAATTGTTTGATCACTTTTACCAAGGTGAAGAAAAACCTGGGCAACATGGCAGCACCCAGGATCCATTATATGACCCATTAGTTTCAAGTTAGTTACCAGAAGGTGAACTTGCCTTTATATAAGATGAAGCAAACATGTCAGAGATTACATGCATTTCATCATGTTTTGACAATAATTTAAAAGACAGTGCAAAGTGTTTTCATCAAATCATCAACAGGTTTGTCATGGACTATTTTTTTTTTTTTCAACAAATGTAAAGAACATATTGTTTGTACAGTGTCAAGTGGTCATGCCTGTGGCAGTGAAAATACATTAAAAAATGAAAATAAAGCACGACATATGCAGCGAGCAGTCCTTCTACACTCCAAATACACAAACATCCCGCAAGCTGAAACATTCTTTGTCATTTCCATTGACAATATGCAAACCACACTTTAAATAAATGTTAAAAACGCTCCTAAATAGACATCATCGATATCTGTTCATTTTTCTAAGCATCTTTAAAACAGAATATATTAGATTTTATTACTACAGGGGGTTCATCATATTTTATTTTATATAAAAAGGACCTAAACTTATTTACAGTGTATTAATGCTGTTGGCATCCATGCTTTTCTGATATGAGACGTGTGTACATTGCTCATTACCGCCACCTCGTGTGATGCAGCAGAACTACAACATTTCTTTTATTTTTGAGAATTGGTGCCAGTATGTAAACATGCATGTGGTACAACCACACAAAAAAAAGCTACATTCTAAAATAAACCCATTCAGTGTTTTATACATTATTGCAGAAACTTCTGAAATTAAAGTAAAGCTTTGCAGAATACGACAACATCGAACCAAAAATATTTACAACACATTTACAGGATTAGATGGCTGCCACGTTTTACGGAACACGTGTCAAACGCTTACTATGGCGGCCAAAAAATAAATAAAAAACTTTTAAGAGTGATGGATTTTATAAATACGTTTTAGAGAAAGTCAAAGTTAGTAGATGTGTTGGAGGTATACGGTGGACCCTCGGGCATCCAGACCAGAAATAGTGCAAGACAGAAATCACAGCAGCCACAGAAAAAAATGCTAGCTTTATTACTATAATTTAACTTAAGTGGGGGAGATAGAAAGAAAACAACTTTTGACCTTACAAATTCAGTTCAAAATATTATTTTTTAAGTTTATCTGTGGAGCAGTTTCAGTGGCTCCTAATTTAGTGCGTGTTTATGTTTGTTTTTTTAATAATTATTTTTACTGCTGTTGGTAAAATTAGTAAACGAGGGGTGTTAATCTATGTCTGGCTACCCTTCACCATGAATGACAGTAATTCTGAAGTGTACTGTAACCAGCCAGGGGCTTCACTCACATCCCCAATGTCTGTCTATCTTCCTGTTGCCTGCTCCTCCACACATTTACCTGCCCACTCAGCACGTTTCTCCCACCTCCGCATCTCAAACGGAGCTGTTGCGCCTCTTCCCAGAGCCAGTCTGGGCTGTAGCAGCAGAGGCTGAAGTCAGCCAAACGGTGACCCCGTGTCAAAGACTAGTGGAAGACACTGAGAGGGTGGGCGAAGAAGGGGGTGGGAAGTTGAGGAGCTCCAGCACCGCCACGCCCACGCTGCTGCGCCGTGTAAACATGCAGGAGGCAGCCACCCATTTGTTGCTGCGTGGGTTGTATTTTTCGATCGAGTTAAGACTGGAGCTGCCATCATTCCCTCCCACAGCGTACAACCATCCATCCATAGCCACCAGGTCATGGGTGCTCCTACAAGAAGGTGAAAAACAATGCGATATTCAGATTCAGCATGAACTCTTTGGGTACATCTTTAAACTACATTTTATTTGGGATCATTGAAAATGTCTCTTGTCTGGAGCATAAAATATATTTATATCTGACTTGCATTCTGTTTAAAGCAGCAACTTTATGCTTAAAACCTTTACAGAAAGAAATCAAAGAGGTGTCAGAAGATGTGATGCTTTGAACAATTTAAATAGAGCCTTTCAGTGACACACAACATATGAGTGATTTGTGAAGCTGCAGTCAACTGTTTTCAGCTACTACATTATACAGATTTGCTCTGTTAAAACCAAGTGTGCATCTCTGCATTCAAGCAAGAAGTAAACGGAATGATGTGATCCCAACGACTGCTGCAGGACCGCTACGTCTCTGAATCGCCTTCCTTGATGCAAATCCTGTTCAACACAATGCTGTAAGGGTACATACGCACGTCTGTTCTGTCACTCGCAAGGCAATTTTTATCTTTTATCTTCTATGAAATAAACCTAACTGGCTTTTTTTTTGGAAAGAAAAGTTTTTGATGTTTATGATTCAGGAAGGTTTAAGCAGTAAAAACATGGAAAAGCCTCAAATCTCTTGCTTTGAACAGAGAAGATTTGGCACGCAGCAAAACAACTACAGTTGGATTCCCTTTTGATACACTCCATACAGACAGACAGCAACACCTCAAAAAAACACTATATTTTACTGATTTATAGAATGTCTCAGGGAAAACTTGATTTTGAAAGCAATAAGAAAAAAAAACCCTCATCTCTTAACAGCGAGACTAAACTATTTGACAAAATTACAAACATGCTGTCCTTCAGGGGTGAGGAAGTGGTCGTCTTCTCATGGTCTTCTAACACAGTATTATTAAACACTAACATGGCTCGTTTACATTATTTACATTATTCTCTGCGAGCGGTCATGTTTGTTAAGCAGCTCAAAAAGACGCATAAAGAACATATTTCTACTTTTAATGCCGTTTCGGCATGTTTTTGCTGTTGGATGAAGCTCTGCTAACAGAGTAGAACTGGGTCATCTTGATGGTTCAGCTGGCTAAGGTGTGTCTCGTTTAATTAAATTCATTTAACCTTTATTTATACAGGTAGTCTCATCGAGTCATGAGGACTCATTCAAGAAAGACCTGATTGGGAGCAGATGGTGGGGGTTAAGGGACTTGTTCAAGGACTCAGATTGGAGAAAATGAGGGTGGAGGCAGGTGTGGGCATTTCACCTTTTCCACCCACATTTTGATGTTGTCGGTCCGGGGAATCGAACTGGCGAGCTTCCAATCACAGGACCACCTTTTCTAACTTCTGCGCCACTACACCACTGGACCAATTCCCTGGACCCATCCCGAGTTATGTGTCATCTCCTCGCTTACATTTTCTACTTCTATCTCTCGTGTATAGTATTGTGCCAAAAGCAACTTTATATTTCAAAGAGGAACAATATGTGTTGGATAAATAAGAATATGCTACTTAGCTTAGGAACTCTGAAAATCTCTACTACTGTAATAATAATAAAAGCTAGCTTGTTAGGCTGATGGTCCTCCTTTTGCATGTGAACAACTAGTTTTGGCTGTCAGCAGCAAACTGGTTGATCCACCATGAGAAGATGCTGCTTATAGACTGAGTTTGTTGCAGCTCCACAGACTGAAGAAGGCTTGTGGACAAGAGACAAAACATTCCAAACAAAGAAGAATCCATCCAGAGGACCAGACTCAACCTTGTTAGACTCATCTGCTTGGATTACTGAGCATGCATCAGGACAATAATAAAAGCTAAAATTACTTGGGCTACAAACATATTCCTGACATGCTCTGGTGGATTTATTACTACTAGGGTCCCCACACCGTTGACAACTATTAGGAGTGACTTCTTTTGTAATGACGCATCAATTTTAAAAGTCACTGCACCGAAACTGGCTGCAGTGTTTGAGCTAATTAAAGTTCTGACTGTTGGCTAACCTGCGTATGTTCATGGGGGCGACTCCTTCCCAGGTGTTGGTCTTTGGGTTGAACCGCTCCACTGAGTTCAGGCAGCTGGTGCCGTCATTCCCTCCTGCGACATACAGCATGCCGTCCAGCACAGCCACCCCCGCACTGCTGCGCCGGCTCAGCATGTTGGCGATGGCTGTCCATGCGTTGCTCTGTGCATACCAGCAAAACAATATTACTGAGGTGCCCATATTGTAGATTCAATTACAGCTTATGATTTTATCATTAGGATTAAATGAAAAAGAAACTTGGGAAAAAGACGAGCTTAATATTGTGATAATACATTTATCAGGACTTTACCTGAGGATCGTATTTCTCCACAGTTGCCAGATGTGAGGAGCTATCATAGCCTCCCACCGCATACAAGCTGCCATCTGGAGGGGAAAAGGGGAGTAAAGACAAACTATAAATATTAGCAGACGCATACCAAAGTGGCAACTCCTGCTCTAATTCGGAAAATAAATCTTATCAGAAGTTAGTAATATTTATTTAAGACTAATTCCTACCAAGAGTTGCTACTCGTACATATCTCCTTCTGGTACTCATGGCAGCAACGGATGTCCATGTACTGGTCAGAGGGTCATAACGCTCTGCACTGAAAGAGAACATACCTGTCAGGCTGATTACTTAGATCACATCTACCTTAAAAAAACAATTTAATACAGTAAATTGTTTTATATTTTAATATGCAATTTAAATTCAAAGTGTGAGGTGACTCAGATCGCAGGGGAAGATGTGGTGGAGACCCGGTAGACAAACGTATAGCGAGGGTCTGCTGGAAACATGGCAGAAGAACCCGTCCTGAGTTAGAAAATGGAAGAACGCCCTTACCGAGTTGTGCTGCCTCGAATGGAGGAGTTTATGTATGTTCATGAGTAAGAACAGAATGAGGTGTAACATCAACAGGCTGATCGATGCAGTTTCCGCAGTATTGTGTTCTTTGTGCCAGTTCGTTGTGGTGAAGAGGGAGCTGAGCTGGAAGCCAAAACTCTCTGTTTACCAATCAGTCTATGTTCCTTCCCTCAGAGTTCAGTTCAGGTTATGAACTCTGAGCAGTGACTGAAAGAATAAGGCTGCAAATACAAGCAGTCAAAATTAGTTGTCTCCACAGGGTAGTATAAATACAGTTATCCAGGAGAGACTTGAAGTAGAGCCGTTGCTCTTCTACATCAAGAGGAACCAGTTGAGGTGATTCAGGCAATGGGTATCGATGCCCCTTTGACACCTCCTTAGAGAGAGCGTGTTCCAGGCATGTCCAACTCAGAGAAAAAAACAGGGAAGACCCTGGACATGCTGAAGAGACTACATGTCTCAGCTGGACTTGGAACACTTTAAAATCCTCCTGAAAGAGGTGGAAAGAGATAAGTGGGCCTCCCTGCTAAAGCTGCTGCCCCTGCAACCCAACTCCAGAACAAGCGGCAGATGATGGATGGATGGATGGATGGATGGATGGATGGATGGATGGATGGATGGATGGATGGATGGATGGATGGATGGATGGATGGATGGATGGATGGATGGATGGGTGGATGGAC